CTGTTTTTTTAATGCGCATAGGCACTCGCATGCCCGTCTGTCCGCTTTTTTAATACGCATAAAAATATAAACGATATTTTTTATTAAAATGATTTTTTTTAAATACAATATGTGGAAGTTAATAATAAGAAGTTATGTGGAAGTTAATAATAAGAAGTTATGTGGAAGTTAAAAATAATAAGTTATGTGGAAGTTAATAATAGGAAGTTATTAGTAAGAAGTTATATGAAAAATGACAGTAGTAGTTTAATAGAAGTTATTGTATAAGTTACATATTTTAAAATAAGGGTAAAATTGGTCAAAATTAGGCTATACCAAAAACCAAGTTTTGTCTTTATATATGCTAGCGTCCAGACAGGGGCGCTCACGTGCCTGTCTGTCCGTTTTTTTAATGCGCATAGGCACTTGCATGCCCGTCTGTCCGCTTTTTTAATACGCATAAAAATATAAACGATATTTTTTGTTAAAATGATTTTTTTTTTAAATACAATATGTGAAAGTTAATAATAAGAAGTTATGTGGAAGTTAAAAATAATAAGTTATGTGGAAGTTAATAATAGAAAGTTATTAAGTAAATTACACAATAAAATAAGGGTAAAAATGGTAGGAAAATGGGTCACACCAAAACAAAGTATTCCCTTTATATATTGTATACACTAGCGTCCAGACGGGCACTCGCGTGCCCGTCTGTCTGTTTTTTTAATGCGCATAGGCACTCGCATGCCCGTCTGTCCGCTTTTTTAATACGCATAAAAATATAAACGATATTTTTTGTTAAAATGATTTTTTTTATAAATACAATATGTGGAAGTTAATAATAAGAAGTTATGTGGAAGTTAATAATAAGAAGTTATGTGGAAGTTAATAATAGGAAGTTATTAAGTAAATTACACAATAAAATAAGGGTAAAAATGGTAGAAAAATAGGTTACACCAAAACAAAGTATTCCTTTTATATATTGTATAGATTACGGCAGTGCCACAAATTTTTATATCAACTCAAATTAATTTTTAAAAATAAAGCTAAACACAATATGCGCATGTTACCCACAAAGAAGGTATGTTGCTACAAAATTGACATAAAATAAAAATAAAATATAATCGTCATAAAGTTAAAAATAAAATAAAATGTAAAAATAATATTAACACACACACACACACACACACACACACACACACACACACACACACACACACACACACACACACACACACACACACATATATATATATATATATATATATATATATATATATATATATATATATATATATATATATATATATATATATATATATATATATATAACTTAAAATATATACCGTAATTTATAAAAATGATCATGTCATAACTAAACAAATATAAATATCTAATTAGTAAAAGAGAGATATATATTAACTTAGAAAAAGAAGTACATATATATTATAACTAAACTAAGAAAAAGTATATTTATATGTCAAAAAGTAGGGAAAAAAAACGTTAAACTGAAAAATGTGTGTGTGTGTGTGTGTGTTTGTGTGTGTATATAACTCAAAGTATATACCGTAATTTATAAAAATGATCATGTCATAACTAAACAAATATAAATATATGTTATAATTAGTAAAAGAGAGATATATATATTAACTTAAGAAAAAGTATAATTATTATATGTCAAAAACTATAAAAAAAAACGTTAAAAATGTGTGTGTGTGTGTGTGTGTGTGTGTGTGTGTGTGTGTGTGTCTATATATATATATATATATATATATATATATATATATATATATATATATATATATATATATATATATATATATATATATATATATATATATATATATATATATATATATATATATATATATATATATATATATATATATCTTAAACTTAAGACAAGGGTAAATATATCTATAAAAAAATAAAACAGTGATCATATTTTTATACATAGGAAACATAAACAAATATATATTGTACGTACTACATAATTCCGCATATGCATAAATATATAAGAATCACAAACAAATATATATAGTGTAAATTGAACATGTATATAAAAAACATAAACGATATATAAGAAACACAAACGATAAAGTGACAATATAAAATAACAATCGAAACTATACGTAAAAAAATCAAACAAGAAGAAACAGTATAATGATACACATAATGTACATGAAAAAGGAAGAACATCAGTAGATCTGAAGAAAGAAAAAATATTGATACGCCTATATTTCAGTTCTCTCTTTTCTCTAATATGTGTCTAGTGTTGGTCCCATTCTTCTCCTTGAGTGTTGGTCTTTTATAAATTTTTTGAATCTTGACATTGAGATGTTGATTTCACTACAAGAAAAAAAAGGAGATTTACGACACTTGAGTTGCGACAGTTATCACAAAACTGTCCTTATTCCTGGATTACGACGGTTGTCACGACAGTTAGGGTCAACTGTCCTAGATTTTTTGCGACAGTTATCAAAAAAACGTCCTTATTCCTGGACTACGACAGTTCTCACGACGGTTTGAGCCAACCGTCACAAATTATTTAGGCATGTTGTATAAAATAATGCGACAATTACCAAAGAACCGCCTTTTTTCCGCACTCGCGACAGTTAAGGCGAACTGTCGCAATTACTGTAGTCAATAATCATAATCACTATTTTTTTTATTCCTTTAATTTTCCACTTTTTTCTTCATTTTTATTTTCTAACCTTTTCAATTTTATTAATTAATTTAATAAATAATTATTATAATTATTATAATTTTCATGACAGTGTAGCTTAATATTTTTGTCTAAAGTAATAGTAAATTATTTTTTGACTTATTATATAGAGACGCATTTCACGACAGTATACATCTACCGTCCTTATATTTTTAAAAGACTATTAAATATTATGATTGTTATCATTAAACCGTCCTACAAATAAGTTCACGACTGTCTCAAGAACCGCCCTAAATTTTATGTCTCGATGGTAGAACAACCGCTGCCTCCTAAACTCAATAACACAAACTATAACCAATGGCGGATCCAAAATTATTTATTCGTGGAGACTAAAAATTAATCTATGTATATTGAATAAATAAATGACTAAAAAAATTTATAAAATATAATTATAGTAATAAATTAAACTTAAAATACATAAAAATTAAAATATTATATATACTTAAAATAAAAATTTAATTTTAAAAACAATTTTTATAATAAAAATTAAATTCAAAATATTATATCCAAAATTGAATTATTAAAATTAAAGTATATATCAAAATTTTATAAACTCAAAATTTTAAAAACAATTTTTATAGTAAAAATTAAACATAAAATTAAACTATATATACTCGTAATACTATAAAATATCAAATAAACAAAACAATTCAATCAACATCCATTTAGTAAATAAAAATATAAAAAATTAATTAAAACAAAACTGTACTCCGTTGTCCTCCAAAATTTTATCTTTTCCCGCTAAAACGGAAAATTCATTCTCCTTTTCATGTGTATTTTTCTCTTCTTTTTCATAAATCTGCGTTCATGCCCTTGGAGAAAGAGGGAAACAAACTTTTTTCTCAGCCACTCACGCCGTCATTGCGAATCACCGTCAAAGCCATCACCATCAATTCGAGTCTTAACAGGTTTGTCTTCTCAAACCCTAAATTACTTTTCAAATCTTGAATCGGTTCCTGGTTTAAAACCTTGTATGTTGTTAATTCAATGGTTTTATCATGAGTTCGTATCAGACTCGGTTTTGTTTCCGGTGATCGTGTCTGGCTGCGGCGGTTACTTTCTCTATTGTGCTTGTTGTTTGATTTGGAGTCTTTGTTTATAATTCTGAACAGGCTTTATACTATACTTGTAATTTAAATCGAAATATTGGGTTGTGTTATTTTAGACTAGATCTTCTATAGAATACTTTGAGAAAGATATAATTGTTCATAGTAGCCAAATTAGTGCAGAGATAGAAAAATGGTAGAGTGAGAATCATTGATTTCTAACTACATCACAATGTTGTAATTCACAAGCCAAAATAGTCTTTACAAATTCATACAACTTCCTTAATTCATTTCATCATTTAATCTATGTTGCTCTTTTGAGAATCATATGCGAGAGCAACCAATTTCTTTTGATTGCGATGAAAATGATATCTCAAGAAACAACTCTCGTAGTAGTAATAGAATTTTAGTATCTCGAGAAAAAGAATCTCGATTGATCTATGAAACCTCTTTGGCGGAAGAAATAACGTCTTTGTTGGTTATCCTAAACTCCCTGTATATTTTTCATGCTGGAGCATTAAGTAGTAAAGCTCCACAATCTAAAACACTGCCAATTCTGAGCATTAAGTAGTAAGCTCCATAGTGGCAGCAACAATGTCTCCATTGGCAACTTTGAGAGCTTTAACAGGTCTTGATCTTGGCACACCAGCTTGAGTCACCACCAACTCGATATCCTTAGGATCAACACCTGTCTCGTCTACATATTCGTCTTTCGGAGCAATACGAAAGGATTCTGGCTTCACTCCGACACAGCTCAAATTAGAAGCCTTGAACTGTTCTGATGCCTGAGTCGATAGCTGTGAACTCAAGTCCTCAATTTTAGCTTCACCAAAAATAATCTAGGTGTTGGAAGTTGGTATCTTAAAAATAACTACTTCTGTGCAAAAGGATGTTTATGCTGCCTCGGAGACGACAAGCGGAGGAAAAATGCCAACATCAGGCAAGAATCTGGAATGAAGCAATGCAGCCAAAGAAGAGCCTGCAACCCACTTTGGTTCAGACAACTACTACAACACATAGACAGCCTGGGAAAGAGCCCTGCAACCCAATAAACTGAATTATCGTAAGCAATGATATTCAAGTATATATTGTTAATGTATTACAAGAATAACATAGGCCGCAATTATTGTAAGCAGGGGCAAATGCTGACTTTAGTTGAATACCTCCTCCTGCTTTACCGAGCTTTATTGTCAACACCAGTTTGATATTGTTTCTTCCTGAACAAAGAATATGGAAGCCTCTTTTCATCACTGATGACAGGATTGTATCTAACATTTAAGCTCACATCTGTGGTTGACAAGGTGCAATCTTTCTTTGCTGTAGTGAAGGCATTGTCACGTAAAGAAGTACACTATGGGGCTCATGCAACATCAGAGCAGGTTGTTGCAGCCGGTGATCTTTGTGCCATTTGTCAAGAGAAGATGCATGCCCCAATCTTACTTCGTTGTAAACACATTTTCTGCAAAGACTGTGTATCAGAGTGGTTTGAGAGGGAAAGGACCTGCCCATTATGCAGGGCTTTGGTAAAACCTGCAGACCTCAGGTCATTTGGTGATGGCTCTACAAGTTTGTTTTTCCAGTTATTCTAAACTCATGATACAAGCCAGGAAGTTTTTTTTTTCTGTTTTGAAGCTTTATTTTTAAAACAGCAGTCCTGATCAATATACATCAACACATGTAAAATTCACTTGAGGCATTTTGGAGACACTCTGAGAAGATGAATGCAGCTAAAAAGGATTTAACTTGTCACCTATTATTCATATAATGTACTTGTAAGAGGTTAACTGTATTATATGACCCTGTAACTAGGAAGTTTATTGAATGTATAATTAAATGCGGGGCTTCATTTAAAAGGAATGAAGGTCGATTTCTCTCCACTTATTTCTACCTTATATTGCTTAAGCGAACAAGTCGATCCCGGTGCTCTAGATATCTAAGAACAATTTAATTCCAAAAATATTCCTTCACAGCCATAAATTTAATTTCGGCAACTTCTCGGTATCTTGACATCATGAACTCTCCAGTATTCCTTCACATCCATAATTAGTACCAGACAAGTTAATTCCAAAAATATTGAGAAGAATTATAATTAGAATCAAAGACATATTTTATGATACTACATTAAGTAAATAAAAAATGATAAACTGATTTCCATAAACAAAATTGTCCTTGTAGAAATTTGCAGATAACAGAAGCCCAATGGGCACAAACTCAATGTTTAATTTCAATTGTACATGAACTTTGACAAAATTATGCCTAACCATTAGGCGTGTCAAGAGCATGTTTCACTAGCTTATAACTTTATGTATACATTGTTTCAAGTAATATTTGAGCTAACAATTTCTTTTCTAAATTTTACCAGAACTATTTTAATTAACTCCTTTGAATGAGAGGAAATATGTCACTTACACAATTCATTTCACTTGATAAATATTAAAGGAACTCATACAATATAATTCCTATTGCAACTACTGTGCACTAGCTGTAGTATACTTGCATTATCTAATTGTTTCTGACTGATTCCTAGCTGTGTGAGTCTATAAATAGATCACACATATTGTAATTCAATTGAGAATTATCTCTATCAATCAGTAATAATATAGAATTCTAACATGGTATTAATAGAAGCACCCCATCAGAATTTTGTTTAATCCTGAACACCCATTTGCAGCCAATAGCATGTCTGTTAGGAGGCAAGGAAGTGAGAGCCCATGTTTGATTCTTCCCTAGGGCTTGATACTCATTATTCATAGCTGCTAACCACTTAGGATCTTTGAGTGCTACCTTGTGTAGTTTATCAGATTTTCTGATGTATGTAGGTCAAGCGATGTATTTTCGTGCAATTTTTTAATTTGGATCTCTTTTGTAATGAATGTTTGAATGCTTTTGTAATGAAAAAGGCCTTTGAAATGAATGGTGTAACTTGTGTTCCTCTATTACTTACTTTTATTATTATTATTATTATTGTCGGTTAGTCCGCTGAACATTATGCAACATGTTTGTTGACAGGAAAACCCTGCCAGAGCCAATGGTCACATCTTCAATGTAGGTAACCCAAACAACGAGGTTACCGTTAAGCAGCTTGCCAAAATGATGGTCAAGGTAGAACGATTATTATAACTATTATTCGGTTCTAATGTTAGAATTAAACTTTGTTGTGATTCAACAACCATTGTTGTTCTGTTCCATTCTACAGGTCTATTCAAAGGTAAGCGGAGAACAACCTCCTAAAAAATCTACAATCGATGTTAGCTCGAAAGAGTTTTACGGTGAAGCAGGGCTTTTGTTCCTGCCATAATGATAGCAGGGCTTTACTTCTTTGACCACAGTGTTGCATCCCAATTGGCACAGCAAAAGGAATTCAATCTCAGGAAACCTTCTGCATATCACTATGACATATTGTTGCTAGGATTCATGGTATATATATACGTATCTCTCTTGTATAGCGTTGTTTAATTGACATTTTGTTACCGTTGGGGTCTAGAGTATGCGGTTGGTTTGCAGGGTGTGTGAGTGCTGTAAAGCATACTCACATTAATGATATGAATAGAACTAAGGCTTTTCCTTAAATCAAAATTTTAGACATTGCTTTGTGGACTAATTGGCTTGCCTCTTTCAAATAGAGTTCTGCCTCAATCCCCTATGCACACTAGAGTCTGTCTCTTCTCAAGAAACAGGTGACTAAATGAGTATTGGAATTTGGTTGAGTAAGTATCAAGATTGAATTTTATGCTAAATATGATGATTTGTTGATCTTTGAATGGTAGTTGATCCGAAGAATGATGGTTAAAAGTGCCAAGGAAAGCATAAGGCAGGAAACTAACAACTCTGAAATATATGGAAAGATGCAAGCAGTGTTTATAGAAATGGATAATAATCCTAATGTAAGCATAAGTTGACAATTGGTTTATATTTTTGTTATTATCGAATTCGAATTCCCCTACTCCCTTTCTCCTCCGCCGCTGAACCCTAATCACTTGCGTTTAGGCGATCTTGTAAACACTTTTGGCCTGCCAAGGTGTGCGCTACTCTTTTCATCATTGTTTTCAGTTTTTTCTTCATGTTTTCTTTGTGAATACATTATGAATCTTTGTTAATACATTGCAAATCTTTGTGAATAAATTGTCAAGTGTTTCCCTTCTTGGCCAGCCAAGGTGTGCGCTACTCTTTCGTTTGTATGGATAGAGTGCAGGGTAGTTCCACATTACATCCTGAGATTGTATTAAGGAGGAAGTTTGTGCTTTCTGATTTGGTCACGGTTGTTGTTTTTCCAACTTTTATGGTTAGCTCCACTTTCTTGTTGATGATGGGCGTGACAAAGAATTCATACTTGCTTCTGCTGCAAAGAAATGGAAGAATGGCCGACATCAATTGTTTCGCCAGTTTTATAGATGGGATCTCACTTTGGAGGAAAATCTTCAAAATTATCCATGGTAGACGTTCATCTGAGTCTAGCAACCGAATTCCATAATGACATACTTTCTAGATTATGAACCTTCTTATTCATTTTTGGCACAATGATACTTATTGTTATAAGATTATGATTTGATATGTTTTCGGATTTTTGTATTACATGACATGATTATGGAACTTTCATTTTACATGATTATGAAATTCACGTTTTTTCGATATTATAATGTTTATTTGATATTAAGTTTTGGAATTAATTTTACTACGCTAAAAAGCGATAGGAAAAAATTTAAAAAAAAAACTATAAATAAAAATATTATTGTATAAATAATTTAAAGAAAAAATAATATAACTATTTTAGTAGATAATATTTTAAATAAAAGAATATATTATAAAACAATATAATACAATATATAAAAATTAATAATGAACCGTCAAGATATCACATTCACGACAGTTTTAAACCGTCGCAATCAACAATGGTAACAAAAATCAAAAGGATATTCACGACAGTATTTAACTGTTGTCATTTCCAATTTATGTCAGTTTCAACCAGTCGTGAAATAGAGCTCACGACAGTTTTAAACCGTCACAATCAACCATGAAAATAAAAATCAAAAGGCTAGTAACGACGGTCTTTAACCGTCGCTATCTCCAGTTTAGGTCAGTTCAAGCCCGTCGTGAAATATAACGACGGTTGTGTGTGACGGTTTTTTCAACCGTCGCTAAACAGCCTGGGGACACACGTTTCTGCGACGGTACTACAACCGTCGTAGAATGTAATTGGTGGTGGTTTTAACCGTCGTAACCTGCCAAAATAACTGTCGCAATCTATCGTTTTTCTTGTAGTGTTTGGAAGGAATTCAAATTTGTCTAGAACATGTTTGGAACATGTTTTGTGATTTTGAAAAATTTCTTCTTTCAATCAAACATGTTTGGATTATGTTTAAGACTTGTTTTGGAATGAATCTTGAATTGGTCTTAAGATTTTATTTTCTTTTTTTTTAGGTTTTTTATTTATTTAATGCATAAAATAAAGATTTAAAAAATAATAATTTTTAAAATGCTCCTAAATAAAAAATAAAAATAATAATTAAATACTAGAAAAAATGATCTTTTTACCCTTTTTTTTTAAATGAAAACGCACAAAAAGAAAAATAAACACAAAAAGTAATGCTCTTTTTTTAATGAAAACACACAAAAAGGAAAATAAATACAAAAAGTAATGCAATGGGACTTGGACCATCAACCTTATTATTAAAGGTCTTATACATAACTTCTTACCAACTGGGCTATCTCATTTGTTTGAAATAAAATTTACTCGAAAGCATATGAATGTAAGTAGAGATTGCACCTAAGGGGGGGGGGGGGGGGGGGGGGTGAATTAGGTACTTTGAAAAAATTTCGGTTTTATCTTATGTTGAGTTTTCTTTCCTGATTATTTACTAAGTTATGAAAGCGATAAGTTGCGGAAAGTAAACACCACAAAGATATATCCTAGTTCTCCTCACAGTCCGAGAGTACTTTAGTCCCCTTACCATATGTAAGATATTTTAATATTGTTACATCTTATGGACAAGACAATCCTAGTCTTTCTATACAATATTCTAACACAATCACCAAGAACAATCCTCTTAAAATTATTCACTTAGTTTAAATGTGAGCAATCCTCCTTCTTATAAACCCTATAAGAAGAAACAATCCTCCTTCTTATAGTACACACATAATTCCAAATAATCCTTGGAACTTTGGAATTTTTACAACAATTTCAATAAAATGAATATATGAAGATTTGTAGTATTCTTTAAGAATTATAACAAAGCCTTCTTCTCTTTCAAGTATGAAGATCAAATTCTCTCTAAGTGCTCAAGATTCTTTTATGATAATAATGTGAAAATGTATTTCAAAAAGTATCTAAATATGAAAGATGTGTAGAAAATAAATGTAGAGAGATTTTTAATATTTGTATGAAATAGGTAAATGAAAAACGAAAATTTAAAATGAATTTATAGTGATGAAAGCAATCATTCAAAAGTCATAGTAATGGTTAGAGAAATTATGAATTTTAATAAGAGAAATTATGTAAAGGATGCCATGAAAAGATATGATAAAAAGGTGCATTCAGACAAAGCATTTTTCAATTCTGCTACAGTACTTGTTAAGTTGGTTAAATGGATAC